CATCAGGGCCGATGGCGGCATTCTGCTTTTTGCATTGGACGGCTTTCTGCCACACCTCATAAGTGATAGGTGTGTACTGCATCTCTGGTGGATTGGGGAATGCAAGCTGTGCAAAGCCAACGATCGGTTCCCAATGCGAATCCGGTGTGGCAGCATGTCGGTCCCACCGTTGCATCCACTCAGTTTGGAAGGCTTGGTGAATCTCTGTGACTGCTGTAATCGGACTGGCCTGTGTGAGCGAATCTCCTACTTGCACTGGTGGCATGGTGGCTAGCCACAACTTATCTGTGTCTTGATGTGTGATGATTAGGGGAATTCCATTATGTTCAATGGTTTGGCCTAGCTCGAAAGCATTAGCTGAATCAAGCACTACAGCACATTCCTCTTCATCTATTTCTTCTATGGTGGCGGATGCCTGGGCTAGCAACATTTGCACCGGCTCTGGGCGTGGTGCCTGCAAGTCACGAAAGATGCGGGCCGGATTGTCCCGACGCTCTTGTTTGCTACGGGCAACTCTTGACCGCATGAGCATCTGTTCGAGATGGTGGAGATCAGTCTGAAAATCTTGCACCAACATTCTGGCCAAATCGCCATCGGGAGGGGCAACGGGCCATCGGTCCGGGAGGCCAACCACATGTTTAGTTTTCTGACTCCACCAATCTGGGAAAGATGGTCGAAAGCCTGCTGCAGTTGAAATGGCTCGCCATTGTCCTAGGCGTCTTTCTAGCCAGTGACTGGTATGGGCTTTAGTAGTATTATGCATATGTGCCAAAGTCTGTAGTCTTCTGAGTTGTTTGACCCAGTGCACATGGATATTGCTCTGTCCATGAAATGTCGGGGTGAAACTACCTGGTCGAGACGGTCGGAGCGGCACAAAATGCTGGTGTATCCACGTGCGCTCCAAAACGGAGCCACGGCCGGTTTGGGACCCATGGATGTTGGTGCCATCGTTTTTGGCGTGAGCGGTCATTTGATTTTCAAAAGACGACCAAATGTTCCGATATCTTTGGTTGGCCTGTTCTTGCAATGCGCACTTCTCAGTGCCTGGGGAAGGGTTCTCAAGTGACCCTACCGGCGGACTAAAGGAGTCTGTGTTGGCTGAGTCTGGCCAATCAACTGGTCTAGGTTGTTTCCAAATGGGAACCCTCATTTGAGGAGGTTCGGCTTGGAGCACCGTGTAAACAATGGCATGATTGGCAAACCAGTCAGACTCCACGTGGACCTCTTTTACTAGTGGGGAGAGTTCTGGGCTCAAAAACAACAAGTCTTTAGTATGTTTGTGTTGTATGGTTGGTTGAATCGGTTGCTCAAACTTACGCAGTGCAATGTGCTGGGCTTCCTCCCACCCTTGTTGAGTGAGACTTTGGACTATAGACAAGTCGTCAACGAAGTGGTTGAAGTCTCCCCCTATGAACCGGTAGCCTTTGGCCCCTTCCGTCAAACGATCCACCACATGTGAGAGAAGTTGGTTGTTTTTCTCCCTTGTCTGGGCTCCGGTGCTATGGTAGGCATCTCCGTAGAAAGCTCCACCCTGAATCCATTGTTGGCCATATTGAAATCCAGCTACATGACATCTTTGTTGATTCGTGACAGTAGGGGGCCATGCATGCATGAGACTTCTGCCCGGAGTACTAGTCAAGAAGGCGACCCCTCGTTCCTTGCCTCTAACGGCAAGATATGATTGCGTACTAGACTTCGGCGGTACATACTCTCCGTGGAGAAGCTTGAATGGACTATGAGAACACTGGAGGGACTTGCGAAACTGAGCAGCTCCTCCGGAGGTCAGGTGGGTTTCGGAAACCACCCAAATGGTGCCTAGCGTCCCTTGGGGAAGCCGGTTGATTTGGTCGGCTTTGTGCAACAATCCAGTGGGGTTCAGGATGCCTAGAACGAAACCTTCATGGTTTGGCCCTGGATGGAGGGCCTCACCATACCGAAAAACAGCAGTCAGGAAACACACAAAACGAAGCTGCAAACTTTTGTCTGGGCTCTGAACGGTCCACTGGTCGAATGGATGCGAAAGCCAACTCTCTGTGCGAGATGGATCCTGGAGTCGGATCTTTGCAGTAGCGCGGATGTGCACACCGCGGTCAACTTGCTGGACTGAATTAGGCAGTGGTCTAGGGCGACCTTGCATCGAACGCCGCCTGGGCACTGCAGCTGAAAAACCCCGTGTCGAGCGAGTGACCCCTAGTCACTCATGACGCATTTTCTTTGCTAGCAACGATTCGATTCGTTGCATTTGGTCCTCCAACTTGGCGTCAATCCTCCCCTCAAATCCTTGCAACTGGTTGGCGATCTGATGATTGACTTTTGCTTGCTGGGTCTGGAAGACAGAAAAATTTTGTGTCAGCGATTGCACCTGTTGCTCCAATGCCTCGATGCGAGCGGTCTGCTCAACTTGCATATGTTCTTCGGCTGCATCTGTGGCCGTGGCCTGGATCTTCTGTTCCAATCGGTGTTCCAGGGCAACGAGTTGACCGGGTGTGACTATCGGGGCCGATGGTGTTGGTCCGATCTTCTTGGATGGCGCTGACTGCCATGGGTCTTGTGTCAACCATGGGTCCACTGATGCCGGGGCAGATCGCTGTGACAACGTCGACATTGTCTTCTTGGATGCTATGATGTTCTTGGCATGCGGCATGGGAGTGTCCTTGTTGTCCTCCAACTTGGCAATGAGGATGTCACCATGCTTGAGCTGGTATATCCAATGCGACGGCTCTCGTGGCGCCATGACCTGCCAAAAGATTCCTTCTGGGACCTGTAACTGTGAGATGGGTTGTACGGGCCGAGCATTCCATCCCAGGTGTTTGAAGCCCTTGGAGAGCGAGGCCTTAGTCGAACCATATGGGAAAGGGCCCACCTTGTACGGCTTCAATTCTTGGCCATCCAGGAACATCAAATCTGGTCGATGTTGTTGGTGGACTTGTTCGGCTCTGGATCGGTCAACTCGCAAGCCGAGACGTGGTCCCATGCGGACTATGGTGGTCTTGGCCTCTGTCTGACTCCTGGCCAGCCGCACTTCAGCAAGGGACTTTTTGGGCATCCAGATCACATACTATTGCGGGGCAGGTTTTCTGCCGTCCATGGTGCGTGGCTCTAAGTAAACTCCATCCACTGCAGCTCCTGGCATGATGTATTCAGCAAACTGTTCGGTGACTCTCAGGAGGAATGCAAATGTCACAGCCTGACTGGCAGGGGCTCGACTCAACTTTGCATCTAGGGTTTGGCGGTCCCAGACATCCAGGATGTGTTCTGCTTGTGGAAAGTCTGCATTCTTCATGAGGACGTGATCCAGGATGGCCCTGACTGGATGTTGCATGAACTCTTGCCAAGGACCTGGCCACTCGTCTTGATACACGATGACCTTCAGCACTCGAGTCTGGATCTCTTCCAATGCAAAGCTTTCGGAAGGCACGTGACGGATCACTTTCTTTGAACCCAATTGCAGCAATGCCACCGATAGCAACATCGGCTCTTCGGTTGCAGCTGACATGGCCGGGATGCGGATGTGGTCGACGTGGGCAGGCAAGCTCGGGTCCATGTGATCTAGAATCAACAATGCGACTCCCTCGGCTGAAATGGGAGATGTCAGGCTCAAAAAATGGACAACTTCATGGATGTTACACAAAGCGACCCCCTGTGCATGAGCCTCTACTTTATGCTGTGGGATGGTTGGCAACTTCTGACCATCCTGTTGGACGAACAGTGCATCAGGCAACTTAATCTGGTCTGCATTCGGGATCACCGGTGGTTTGGAACCCTTCCCTGGTGGCCTTTTGTTGGCCTTGGAGCCCATTGGCTTGTCGGTGGCGAGCCTCGCTTTGATTGCCTGGTCGAGCTCTGAGGCCATGACAATGCGGATGGGCGGTGTAGCCTGAGTCGCTGCCGTTTTCAGGTCTTTCCATGGTTGTGACCCTCCCAAAATCTTGGCTATGGTGTCTGTCCCTAGCTGTTGCATGAGGTGGCCTGCACAGGTAGCTAATCGATCTTGGCTAACTCCATGTTGTCTGAGGAGGGATTGCAAGATCAACTGATCGGGCTGCAGTGTACCTCCCATCCGAATGGCCTGTGTCAGGCCTTGTCCATCCTGCAGGATTTGTTGCGCAAAAGGAACTCTCCATTGGTCTGCTTGAGCCGGCTGGACAGGACATGGACTGACGTTACCTATTGCTCTAGCGAACAGCCAATTGACCGTTTGGAACCCACAATCGGCAGGGAAGGCTGACGGCAACAGGACTGCTTGAAACGTGATGTCATTGTGGCCACAAGCTTCAACGACCAACTGTGCAAAATGGCTGCAGAGATCTTGCGTGGTGGTCATGACTGTGGCATTGGACGAAACTTGCAGTGCGATCGGACTCCAATGGCTGAGGTACAAGACTGGAACCATGTACAACTCAACAGTGGGGTCACTATGCAAGGAGGCCTTGGAACCTGGTCTGACCCAGCATTTGCAGGCTGAGCAACTGGGCGGTGTGAACTCTTCCACATGTCGGGACGACGTGGCATGCACCATTGTCTATCACATACCAAGCGGCAGGTGCGAGCAGGCTGCTCAACTGAATTGGTACTCCTGTCAGGGTGGTGACGACGATCGGCTGAGGGACATTGTGGGTCCCGGCTTCGGCCATGGTCAATTGGCCAACAGTCGATCCTGGTGCTACTTGGACTTTGACTAAGCTTCCCTCCGGTCGGCAAACTATGATGTCAAAAGGATCAACCGGCATCAAAGGGCTACCGACACTTGGCGATGCAGTGCCATCTGTGTGGGGGCAATCAATCACCGGCCCTGCAGTCTCATGTTGAACTGGCGGATAATCAGCAGGCTCTGCTGGCAGAACTGGCTCACCTGTGCAACCCCCTAGATCGGGACGAGATTTGGGGGGTTGCCTAGCCGATGTTCTGCACTCCTGAGGGTTCCCACCCCCCTTCCCTTTGCCTCTCGGATTGGCACTGTCCAAGTAGCTAGCATCGCCTTTGGCTGGATGATCTCCCACCTGTGGCTGTGTCAGGGCATGGCGATCGACGAACGTGCGATTGGCAAAGAATTCTAATCCTCCATTGGCGGCAATTCCGGTGTCATGCACTTGCCGTTGGTCGAGCATGTACGAACTCGAGGCTTTCCGTTTCTGGGATTCTCGAGCGAACGTGGGCGATACGTGCTCATCGAACCGGACAGGGACAACGGCTTCATATGCAATGCCGAAGTATGCCATGACTGCTGTCTGAAACAGGGCAGACTCTTTGGAATGGACAAACGGCTGCAGCATGCGATCACGGGAGGCAAAAGTCTCAATGGCTAGATGCATCAACCCCTTTTCGGCCAATTTCTGACCAATCGCCGTGCCCAGTGTGTTATGGAGGGCTTGGATCACCTGGGCTACATGCCACAATGCCTGCGCTGGTGAGGCCATCTGCCCTAAAGCTGTGAGGTCCAGTCGGAGGTCTCGGGGCAGGTCACTCTGGATGTGGTCAATGGGGACCATGTGTAAAATGGCTACCTCATCGGGGTGGATGTGTCTCATATTGGGCGTTTCGCTTCCCCGGATGATGGTACTTCCAGAGGTGGGAACGAGTGCTCCAAACAAGCCCTTTTCTTCTAGACGATGGTGAGTGAATCCACCTGCCCGACATCCACACGCACATGCCGTCAACTGAGATCCCCAAGCATGTAGTGCTGTCTGCAACGGCTTCGTGGGGCAAACTGAGTTCTTGCCCAACCCACCCGGTTGTTCTGCAAATGCTTCCAGCTCATGGGGTGAAAGGCTGAGTTCAACCATTTGATTCTGTGGCCATCGTGCCATAGTCGGGATCAGATGTCGAAAGGCCGGTAGGAAGGGCAGCTTTGGGAAACTCTTGATCGGTGGCATACGGACAAGTGGATGTACAACTACTGCCCACCATCGTGACCTCTTTGCCGGCCAAAAGTCCTGCAAATGGCAAATCTGTTGCTGCAAAGAATACCCCATGCTCTTGCAGAATGCATTCAGAGTAGTCTGCACCCAAGGCGATGACATGGCCTCCTTAGTGCATTCGAGCACCATTGCAACCGGCTGGAACAAGTAGCCGACCTGGATCATCCCCTCGAAACTGCGTGCTCTCGGGTCCAACTGTTGACGTTGGTCGCCTAGCTTCGAGAAAGGCTGGCAAGCAAAGCCACCAGTGACAATGCAGGGGGTGGTCATGTATGGCAGCAAGGCCTTATGCACTGTCGGGCTATCGATGTCACCTTCGATCACCTGTAGATGCTTTCTGCGAAGCCAGTCTGCATAGCGGGTATTGATCTCAACATGACATCGAACTTTGCACCCAATCCCACTGTAGCCTGCCGACATGATGGAGTAACCTGCACAGACATCGATGACCTCTGTGGCCGTGGTGCTATCAATCAGCTGATGGATCATGAGCGATCCTCCCGTGGCATCAACAATCGTTACTGTGGATTCCTTCGTCACCGATGCTGAAATGATTGTAAATCTTTCTCCAGCCAGCTTGGCTCCACGGAGCAGAAAGGGCTGTCCTCGCAGCAGTGTTGTGCAATGATATGCATTGCGTTCTTTATCGAAGAACCAGGCTTTTCCTCCTAGGGATATCTCGGATCCCTCCAGCACTTGGTCTAGACATGGCTCAGGATGGTACCCGCCCTCCCAAGCCATTGGCCTGCACCGCTGAACCCGCTGGTAGGTGCTTGGGCCGACAGCTAGCGATGGCCTCCAACCTAAGAGCGATGGCCTCTAACCTATGAATGCGTATACAGTTATTCAAATGACACTCCTTGAATTATGTAGTCAGGATTAGCAGGATGAGTCTTAGAGTCAACCTCCATCGGCAACAACTACAAGATTGGGGCACACTAGGGTTTTGCCACTGCTCAGCAGTGCCATTTTGGCGGGCAGTGTTTTCTTCAGAATGTTTGGTCACTGGGGTTTTGTTGGCAGTTGGCGGTTCCTGTAGTGGGCCCAGGTTGATTGGACACTTGAGACAGTGCAGAATGAACATGGTGAGGAGCACAGCTTGGGCTGTGGCGGCCTTGAGGCTTTTCTGGTTCACACTGTATTTGCCCAACAATATACATCATATTGAGAATCACATTAATTACAGTAAATGTTTTTTTAGAATTATATGTACGCATGCAAGTGTTTCTTTGGAGGGGGTACAAGACAGTTATCAAAAGAGCCATTTAAAAAACTAGAAACAGTAAGTTTTGCTTGGCTGGGTCGTGAAGCCTTAAGCACAAGACTGCAGAACAATTGATCAGTATAGGAAGCCTGATATTCAATGGATGGTTTGGACTATATATATATATTATTATAGATATCTCATTGCGTGGGCAACAGATCTGGTGATGCTTCGTTTGTGTTGAAACCAACATTTGTTCCCCGTTCAGTTACTTACAGACGCGCCAACTTGCTTGAAGGTACAAACTGCTGAGCAGTATGAATTTCTACACCGGGCGTTACCTGTTCTCACCGAGCAGCTGAAAGCAGCCCAAGCACAAGTGTGACTCATGCTCACTTGCTGTTGCTAGAGTTGTATGTCATGAGACGCTGTCAACTTTTTGTGCATTTGACCAAAGACAAACGGGTGTTTTCTAATTGTTTGTATGCACACTGTTGAGTCTTGATGTTGACAGTATCGCTTTTGATTTGTTTTGAGATTGGATTGGACATGACATACAATGTACAACTCCGTGGAAAGAAAGAGCGATGACTGGGAGATGTTGGAAAAGATGTGTGTGGATAAGGTAGAGTAAGAAGTTGTGAAGCAAATCCAACAATGCTCAGGCTGAAGGGAATACCTTGTCTTCCGTAAATACTGGGTCATTGCTTGTGTGCCTTTCTAGTGGCATGGCAGGATTGATGCCACCATTCTGAAAATTAGATTATATATATATATTGTCATATTCCATCTAAATATCTCTCTCTCTCTCTCTCGCGCGCTTTTAGCCTCTGTGACTGTGTCCATATATAATATATATCCAGAACGCAGAAACCACTTCGGATCGTGATGTTTCGAATCGTGCTTCAACAGGTTCACATGCCAAGGGCATGTACTCTACGCCAGCTCAAAGAGAGGCCGACGTGCATCAATACAACTAAGTGTATTTTGCATCCCATGGTCATTCTTCCATGCACTTGCATGCAATTCTTGTCTCCATAGATGCAGTACCATTCACAAATTTGCCCAGCAGAATACCACCATAGGTCCATATGCCGGCGGAAGTGCCAAGCAATATTTATCATGCATGTTCTCAAGTCGAGTACAATCATTTTTTTATTTACAGGGGGGTAGGCCGTGTAGAGGTGAGGTAGGTTAGCTAGGTAGGTAGCTAGTAGAAGCAAACGGTAGCTACTACCTTACTAGGACGCTACTACCTAGGATGGCTCGGGGGGAGCTTCCTTGAAGAAGAGCTCGCACTAATGATTTGGTTCCTAGATAGATTTGTGCAGTGTACCTCGTGTGGATGTTTTTGCTTGACTCGAGGCTTGGAGAACAGCTACGCATCGGAAATGTGGAGGACCAGCCAAGCCAAAATGCATGAGTGTGAAGGACATGGTGGTAGTGTGATTTCCGGTAGATCATTCAGAACATGAGCTTTCAATGAGGCGACATGCTCTGAGACTCTCCGCCTAATCGTCTAATTAGCTTTAACCGCACGAGGACATTCAAGGAGCAGCCCGATATTCTTTTAGTAACGTCCTTGCTCCTAGTAGCGAATATTGCTCCTAGTAGCAAGGCCAGGAGCCCCTAGTAGCTTCTTGTTCCTAGTAGCGATGCCAGGAGCCCCTAGTAGCGTTCTTGCTCCTAGCAAGTCAATCAGAAGAATAATCCGCCAGGATTTTGCATGTTTCCAGATGACCGATGGCTTGCAAACCCACAGGCTGAAGCTTTGTCGGAGTTCCACCCCTGAACTCACCGAAATAGCTTGTTGCATATTATAATCACACCTGCCCGTCGCAATTATTGTTCTTCATGCACCTTATGTTTGTCAAGGCTCCAGGCTTGGGTTTGGTATGAAGAAAGTTCAACGCTGGCTGTTGTGAATGAGAGTGAAGTTTGCATAGCCGCAGGCTCTTGCCTGATGCCACTCAACTTGCCATGCTGGAAGAGAAGTGGGCAAAGCTGAAAGCTGCTACAACTCGGGCTTCTTGACATACGAAACAGAACTATATAATGACTTAGTAAACAAAGCTTCATCAGGTTTCTTCCAATCCCTGAAAGGGTACAGCAAGAGAGAAACGCATCCGCCTTAAACAGCCTAACTTGACAGTTTTGGAACTGACTGCATGCCTGTGTTTGTATGACGCAGGCAGAATCAATACCTCTTCATCCATGCTCGTTTTGTTCTTGCTGTGTTGCCAGTTGCCACACAAACGAAATTCAACCAAAATGCTACGAGGCTTCGCACCTCCTTTTCAAGCGCCGTTTCATCAGTTTCGATGAGACTTTGAAGTCTGCACCTTAGCCCTTACAAACACGCAAAGAACTGCCCAGCTCTTGCTTCTTGCCTGCTACACCAGAGGCACTGGGTCAATCTTTTTCGCGTGCGGAAGGAACGCCTTAAGATGTGAATTCTATGTCAAAATTTGGGTTTCAGATGATCAAGGGGCCAAGGGGGCATATGATATGGGTTCATGTCATTGAGATCCTCTTATGTTGTTCGCAAAAGTTTTGTTTTCCAGTTTGCGAAAGTCTTTTCGGGAAAGATCTGCAAAAGATAGGCTGCAACCAAACCAAAAAGACTTCTTGCATATACCCTCCACTTTCATGGAGTTCGCAAAAGATTCGCAAAGGCACATATATTTTTCGAAGAATGACGTTTCCGTAAGAAGGAATTTTGATCAACCACCATGTGCTTCAACCTGAACACGCTCCAGCTGAATTACTGTACAGAGGTTCAGTCAGAACTACTGAGGTGATAACGAATACAGGGCTGGATGCGGAGTCTGAACATCGAAGTTTCAGGATGTTCCAGCACCAAAACGATAATCAACTTAATCAGAGGGGCTTGCAAAAATGACTCTCACTGTTTTTTGACTCTCAGTTTTCTTGTTTGTGACGGTAATGATATTGATACTAAAGAAGAGGGGTAGGAAAAAGATGAAGATGCTCTCAGTTGTCCTATTCACCTTTGATTTGGATGCTAAAGCAGAAGGGGAGGAAGAAGAAGAATAAGATTTCTTAACTTATGATTCATAATATCTTTAAACAGTTGAGTCTGAACTTGAGGACACACTAAAAAAATTAAGTGAGTCTTGTGGACCGTCAAGTCTGAATGGCATCATGTATGTATAAGCGAGTCTCTCTTGGAGAATATGCTTTGGACAGATAATCTAAATTTGAAGGTAATAAGTGATTCATGTAACTGACTATTTTGAACGGTTGAGTCTGAATGCTGCATTATGAATTAAAAGATGGTCTAGGGCGGGGGGAGGGGGGGTAAGGTGCCCAACACCCCAAAACACAACATCCAAAAACAACTGAAGTGTCCTTATAATATGTCAGGATGTCTAGAATCACTCTAGGGTTGGTAACATGTATTATTACTAAATGTCACATATCAAATCTGCAGGCTGTCCTCCAAAAACTTGCAGTATAATCGGAGGTTTTACATAAAAGGTGTTGGGGGTTGAACCTGCTGAACCTCCGGGGCGGAGCCTTGGAAGATCCTGGATATGCTGGTGGGAAGGTGGGAGGATGGGAGGGTGGTCCAAATTCGTGCCATCAACTTCAAGCTCAATGCTTGGGCCGTACGCCTGGCATGTTTGGATGTTGCAGAGCACTTCAATGACCTATCACTTACCGTAGCTTTTCTTATTGCCGTTGCCAGCCAGGTTGGGTTCTACCCTCAGAGTGACAGTTGCATCTTCACATCAACTCATGACTCAATCCTTTGACACGCAGATTCGGTTTCTCTTCCTGTTCAGATTCACAGTCACTCCTTGTCACATTCATATTCAAATTCCGGATTCAGCGTAGGATTCTTGATGGAGCTCATTTCCAAGGAATGGACGCTTGTCTTTTCGCACTTCAATATCTTCGAAGTGCACCCGGCGCGTTTGGAAGTTCTGAAGTTTATGATATGAGCGAATGCACCTGGATTTGTGATGGGCTTACTATATCTGCAGCGGTCTTAGCTCTTTCAATCAGCCATAAGACCTTCACCGTCCATCACCACTTCTGAGCAATGGTGCGCCATTCCACCACTTCTGAGCGGTATGAGCACAAGTGGAAGACACATGTTGCAGGCGGCTACAAGTGCCTCAGATCAAATTTTGAGCAGCACGTGTTTCCAGGCCCGATGGCCATGCCAAAACCGCTCAGGCTCCAACATTTGAGATGGGAGGGGGACGAAGTGACGGAAATCTGGACGAGGGACTTTGAGAACAAGGGCCAGCAGATCCAGGGCCTGAAGATCCAGCCGAAGGTTGAAATAAAAAAGATGCCGGTGGAACCGGAGGGGAAGAAGGCCATGAAGGCCATGAAGGCGATGAAGGCCATGAAGGAGACGAACGCAATGAAGGCGAAGAAGACAATGAAGGCCAAGACGGCCAAGAAGTAGATACGGCCAAGAAGGTCCGAAAAAGGTGTCAGACAACCATCTGCCGAGCCAACTTGAATGAAATTGAGTATCCATCTAGACCCAATCAATGTCGAACTCAAAGCTTTCATCCGCCAAGCTTATCGTGTTTTGCAAGCATGACAGGTGCTGGTGCAGACAGAAGGCAAGGCAGACAAGTGTCAAAAATGGGTTCTTGATCCATTGGGAATCCGAGTTTGACAAATGATACACACATGTCCCACGTGGTTTGAATCTGAAACAATGCGCAAATGTCATGTGACAGTGTGTCCATTGCTTTTGGCAAGGCTTTCAACCAACAAATCGTTGACGTTGGCAGGTCAAATCGTAGTCGAGCACGCGCACTTCGAGGTTGCGCAGGTGGCTCCGGCATGCTTTGAACCAGTCGCAGTTGACAAACCAGTGCAGCGGTTGATTTGGCAAAATTTGACAACATGTTGACTGAACATTCAGACTCAGAACGATTTCAGACCCGGCCCAAAGTCTGCACAAAGCCAGACTGCGCACAACAAGCATAAGCCAGGCCTCCGGCGAAATCGTAAGCCAAATGGCCAGCGCTGACAAGGATGGTGCTTTAACTGCGGCCGACCCTCTGGCCCAACAGCCAGACCTGCTTGATCAAGGTGCTAGATCATGGAAGAAGCTTGAGGCCAAGGACGTGCTTGGATGTATTCAGTGGAAGCCTGGGACGTACACCGTGGTCGTTTCGGAAGATGGCACTCCTGTGACTGAGAAGGAGGTTGGGGGTGGCCTCCAATGTGGGAGTTTTCAGTAGACTTGAGAAAGGCTTAGGCTCGGACCAGGACCAGGAACCTTGTCTTCGTCCCAGCCTTTGCCTTTATCAAGTCGATTGACAAGTGCCACATGACACAGACTAAATGGTCGGCGATATTTTTTGCGATTGTAAATTGTAAATTACCGGCGTCATCTTTTGATTGAGTGTCAGAAAGTTGTTGCCGGCCACCGGGCATATCATCCGATGGCTTGGACATACAATTTGTCCATCCAGGGTCCTGGCCGAGATGTGAAGATTATAGCGGTACCTTGAAACCTTTGAAGAGGTCCGCAGATGAAGCTGGGCTTCCCCCTGCTAGGCCTTTCACAGTGGTTCGAAGCTGTGACACAAGGATGGCCCAGATCCGAGAAGACGCACGACGTTTGGACGAGACGAACCAGGAGGTACAGGCCACTCAGGAGTTCGATACGGTCTTGGACGACTAAAGCCCTACTCAATGACTTGCTGCCGCTTGATGTTCCTGAGATGAAAGGATGCCGGCTTGATCAAGAATCCTAGCATGGCTAGATTTTGTGATGGTCTTGTGGGCCTGGATTTATTCATAAATTGCAGTGGATGGAAAAATGCGCATGCAGCTTGGTTGATGGCAGCGGGCATGTCAACTTCAAACTCATGTTCATGTGACAGCCAAACTCACATTCAAGCTCATGTGATTTATGCGACAGCGCAATTCAAATTCAAACTGAGTGGCAAACTGTTCCATTTTTAGTTGCGACGAGTTGAATTGCAAAATGAGGTTCACGTTTCCACCTTGCAGCGAATCATGCAGAAATTGGGTTCAGCATCATTTGGAATCAGGTAACGAAGTTCCTGCTGACTTTGAAGGCGAGCAAACGTTCATGTCTTGGAAGGCTTCATCCAAGAACATGCCGAATTTCATTTTCAACGTTCCAACATGCTTTACTGCAAAATCTTGTCACTTGAAAACATTGTGGAGTGAATTTCTGGCACGAAGATTCGTGGGACGGTAAAGATTGAAAGAAATCAGAATCGATGGAATTAAGGAAATCAGAATCAAAGTCGTCATTAGCTTTGAGTTTAGTTTGAACCTTTCACAGCTGGTAGCGAATTCGCTGGGGAAGGATATTGCGTCCACAAGACTGCTGCGTGCGAGCTTTTGGCTTTCAGGCTGGCCGGCGACTGACTGGGCATTGAACAGTCCAGAAGTTTTGAACTCAACCTTGACCAACAACCTTGCCGCATTCAGAATCAGATAAAGTCAGTGTCAGGCGCTACTTCAAAAAGACTCCCCAGGAAAACGTGACCACAGACAGTAGTAGACTGTTGAAGGGCTAAGTAGACAGTTGCAGACAGAAGTAAACAGTGATCAGGAATCAGGAGGGGACCTTTTGTATTCTGCCACGCTGCCTTGGAGGAGACCTGGTTGGAAGATGATGATGATCCTGTCCCATTTCCCATGTGTCAGAGCCAAGGCTGGGTTTTGAACTTGAAGGCCTTCATTGAACGGCAAAGACTGTCATTGGAGTGCACTTCATTGCAACCATTCAGAGTCATTGTCAACTGGCATTGGAGTCACTGTCACGGTGCATTTGTTTTCAATGCTGCTAAGTTTGAGAATTCATGCCTTGATGCTGCCAGATCATTGTCACCGACCTTTGTCATTGACGCAAGTCATCAACTCAGCATTTGAGCTGCTTCTCGACTGCTGCTGTGGAACCTTTTGATTCTTTCATTGTTTGAATACCATTTTCGGTTGTTTCAGGCTGCAATTGGGACGCGGCGGCTGCGCTTCACAGGTTGGAATGTTGGTGTCGCAGGTCACAGTTTCGCAGGTGTCAAAGCCCGCATAAGCCAAGATTATATAGTCGTGAGGTTCGTGCGCAATGCGCTGTGATGTCCGTTCACCCCAAAGCTAGTGAAAAAACGAGTGTGACAAAGTCAGGGCAACGTGTCCATGGAGCTCCGCCTCGCTGTGTGGCCTTTCTGCTGCAGGGTTTGGAGCCACGCAGTGGGCTGAAGCGACTGCTGCGCCAGGACCGAATGCATGGGCGGATTGGATGCTGCAGCCGAAACAGTCTTTCAGCTATCATGTGACATGGTTTCAAACTCTTATGT